GCTGCTACGTCACTGGGCATGGGTGGGGTGGGGGGGATATTAACGTTCATGTACCTTGCCTACATACGTGGATGCTACGCTGCTGCTACGTTACTGGGCATGGGGGGGGCGGGGGGGATATTAACGTTCATGTACCTTGCCTACATACGTGGATGCTACGCTGCTGCGAATTTTTGGAACACTTGGAAGACCTCCTGCCGCAGGATTGATGCTGTCAGATGAGGAAAAAAAAAGCAAATCCTTGCATAGACAAAGTAGTTACGTCATTTCAAAAAAACGTTAAAATTATCGTTTCGCTGAGGCGAAAACGCCATTTTGCTAACTTTCCAATGGAATTCAGCCACAAAAAGTGTATACACCTGAAACTTGAGAAAACCCCTTACAAACGCACAGAAAATCAATGCTGGATGATACTCAATCTTCATTTTGAGCCACGGCCGTCTATGCGCCGGGTTCTAGTTTCTTGGGCGTTTTTGTGCGCGCTGTTGGTGTCAAAGTTTGGACATCCAAAGTGGGCTTGCATGCGTGCTTATGCACCTTGCGCTCTCAAAGAGGTTGACAAAGAACAGACTATTGATTGAATGAATGCTGGTTCTTTAAAGGCTGCACCAATGTTTGGCTGACAAATGCTCTGCTCAATTTGTGTTGACGCTTGCAGGCAGTTCATGCAGCTGCGCTGGATCTCTTCTTAGACTTGCTGCTAAACGATGCACAGTTCTAGTTCCACTTTGCGACTTGACACACCTACGGCCTAACAATTTGAAACACAAGTACTGTGGTGACTGTGGTGCCTTGGAATATTGACTTTAAATCGCAAAAAAAAATGCATTCAGTATTTAACCACATGACTCTTCGAGATTACAAATTTCTGAGTGCTGGTGTTTTTGTTCAATGTTCACTATGCTGGTCCTGGTCAGAATATGACAGAATCCCAAGCATGGTGACTACCATTCTTTTGAAAGGAGGATGAGTATGGTTGAGGATGAGTATGAAAATGATGCCTGTATTGGTACGGATCATCTCACTGACAGTGACAACAACGATGATATCATGAATAAGATGATGATCCCTTGCAACGATTTATTCCCCAATGTGTGGCATTGAAGTAGTTGCTCTACAGGTTTGGCCTTAGAAAACTCGATACTGTGAAGCTTAAATGCCGTTCCGCCTGGATGTCAAAAGGTGATCACTGTGCCATGTGCTTGGGAAGTCTACCATTGGTCATGGCTAGAAAGAACCAAGCTGACAAGTTCTTGTCAGCAATGACGGAGCTTCTATTGTGCGATCAATTTAGCATTTAAGCTCTAGCACATTCATGTGCTGGCTCCAGTTGCAAAGGTTCGCTCTATCGCGATCAATCCCCAATCAGCTGTCGCTGTGAGCAAGGAGGACGGTAGACCAGTGCGATGCTTTGCAACATTGGGTTTTTCCGGCCATTCTCATCTTGGTTTTCCCCACAGGTTGCTCCAGCGCTTTGCAGCGTGCTTCGACGCCAAAAGGAAGCTGCGCTTCCGACTGCTTTCGAACGTAGAGCTTCCAAGAAAGTTGCAGACGTTTGTAGCATCCGCTCTGTGATCTTGTAGGGGGTTGTTCGCGTTCTGGTGTTGCAGGACGGCATTCTGCTGTCTTGGTCATTGATGGCTTTGATCCGTTTGGTTTGCACCTGAGCTTTGAGATTGCATTTCAGAACAGTGCACCTTGTCAGAACATGTGAAATTGTCACTGGGTGCATCAAGCACAACCAGTTCGCACAATTTACTTCTGTGCTTTGGCAAGTCTGATGCATACCGAAACGTTGCATGCAGTTCACAGTGTACCATTTGCTTGTTCTTGGAGGCACAGCATCCTGAAACGCACCCCACTCTGCGGAGGGCCGGCGCAGTGCAGAACTTGTTGAAAAATCAGGGCTGTCATGCAGCGAAAGTGAGCAGGGTTCTACAACCAGTTGGCCTCAGATCAGGCTCCATCTCTATCGCTCTTTACCCGGCCCAACCATAGGGGCAGGGTGGCAGTTCAGATCTCAGAACTCTCTAGGTTTGCTATATTTGCTATTGGCGCTTTGCTTGTCTTTAGCATCTACCAGGGGCTGGAGGAAGAGACAGAATCCAAATTGAGCACTATGTTGGCATGAGGTCAGACACGACCTGCTGGCATCGATGGGTCTGCAACTCTGCTCTCACAACAGAATAAGAAAGAGAGAGAGAGAGAGAGAGAGAGACAATGAGAATAAACACAATAAGGATGAAGAAGGAAGAAAGAGTTCGTTGTGTTGCCAAATGCCCTTGATGGCCCTTGATGGCCCTTGCTTGCCCTTGGTCACTTCGAAGGTCTTGCATTTCTCAGCAGTTCCTCTTCAGTGGAAATCCGTCAAGAAGCTTGTGCGCTGGTGCCCTTGAGAACAATCCCTGAGTTGCCAAGCTGCAATATGCAATGATCGCCAAGCATCTCAAAGGATTCGGAAGCCTAGGAACCATAAGTATGTGTTTTACATACATGCATGCATACACAAGCAACAATACGTAATAAGTAGTGCTACCGCCCTGGTGCCGCCGACCCCCCTTTATGGGGGGCATGGCAGTGGAAAGAAAAGAGTATGGCGACAGAATACAAAAATGAATTTAATGTATGTATGCAATTAATGTATGTATGTATGTATGTATGTAATGTAATGTAATTTAATGTAATGTGATGTGACGTGACGTGACGTGATGTGATGTGATGTGTGTATGTCTGTATGTCTGTCTGTCTGTCTGTCTGTCTGTCTGTATGTATGTATGTATGTATGTATGTGTATGTATTTATATTGAGACAGATAGATAGATAGATAGATAGGTAGGTAGATAGATAGATAGATAGAAAATAGATAAATAGATAAATAGATAGACCGATAGATAAACCGACAGAGAATGCCAAGAGCAGCCGCCAGCTCGGGAAAAAGCACTCCTCGCCACGCTTTAACAGCATGGCAGTGAAGGACGGAAGGCTCCTGGAAGGGCAGCTAGGTCGTGGCCCACTTGCTCGCTTTGAAACGCCTATAGAATAGGTTCAAAGACCAGCCAAAAAGCTCAAACACGTACCGCCAGCTGGGAGAAAGCACCCTTCGCCACGCTTTAACAGCATGGCAGTGAAGGATGAAGGGCGGAAGACTTCGTGCCGCTGCCCGGTCGGAAGGCATCAGGTCGGCTTCTTAACGGTCAAAGAAGAATGCCAAGAGAGCAGCCGCCAGCTCGGGAAAAAGCACCCCTCGCCACGCTTTAATGGCATGGCAGTGAAGGACGGAAAGCTTCTCGAAGGGCAGCGGCCAATTTGCTCGCTTTGAAACGCCTATAGAACATTATAGAACAATGTTCAAAAGCCAGCCAAAAGGCTCAAAAACCTACGTTTTGCCACACCAAAACAGCATGGCACTGCGGGACAGATCGTGCCTTCGAAGGGCGGCTAGCCGTGGCGCCGTCAGCTCCTGAACTGCCTGCCGGTGAAGGACGGAAGGCTTCGCGCCGCTGCCCGGTCGGACGGCATCAGGTCGGCCTCTGAACGGTCAAAGAAGAATGCCAAGAGCAGCCGCCAGCTTGGGAAAAAGCACCCCTCGCCACGCTTTAATGGCATGGCAGTGAAGGATTGAAGGCTTCTCGAAGGGCAGCTAGGTCGTGGCCCATTTGCTCGCTTTGAAACGCCTATAGAACAAGGTTCAAAGGCAAGCCAAAAGCTCAAACACGTACCGCCAGCTCGGAGAAAGCACCCGTCGCCACGTTTTAACAGCATGACAGTGAAGGCTAGGTCGTGGCCCATTTGCTCGCTTTGAATCGCCTTTACGACAAGGTTCAAAAGCCAGCCAAGAGGCTCAAAAACATAAGTTGTGCCACACCAAAATAGCATGGCACTGTGCGGGACAGATCGTGCCTTTGAAGGGCAGCTAGTCGTGGCGCCGTCAGCTCCTGAACTGCCTGCCAGTGGAGGACGGAACGCCGCTTCCCGGCGGCGGACGGCATCAGGTCGGCCTCTGAACGGTCAAAGAAGAATGCCAAGAGAGCAACTGCCAGCTTGGGAAAAAGCACCCACCGCCACGCTTTAATGGCATTGCAGTGAAGGATGGAAGGCTTCTGGAAGGGCCGCTAGTTCGTGGCCCATTTGCTCGCTTTGAAACGCCTATAGAACAAGCTTCAAAGGCCAGCAAAAAGGCTCAAAAACGCACGTTTTGCCACACCGAAACAGCATGGCACTGCGGGACAGACCGCGCCTTCGAAGGGCAGCTGGTCGTGGCGCCGTCAGCTCCTGAACTGCCTGCCAGTGAAGGAGAACAGGCCGCTGCTGATGCTTCGCTGTCTCGGGCGCCTCCCCCTGCAATGGCAACGGCAGGGGTCGGCGGATATTACACTGTATTGCTTTGCATTGCATTGCATTACCATACTGACATACAGAGGTACAGACAGACACTCGCAAAGCCTTGCGTTGCATGACATGGCATGAGATACACAGTTTAGAATAAATGATAATCTGGGAAAACCCGAGCTGGCAGTAGGAAGTGACTCGGTGCAAGGCAGATTCAGATTCGTCATTTCCCATACGCTTTGAATCATGATCTGCCAAAGTGCAGTTTTTCCCGAATGCGTAGCAAGGGTTCCCGTTTCACTCTGGGGGTCTAGGGGGCTGTTTTCGGTTCGCCTGCGGTCACGCGAGGGCCGTATAGCCGTGCTTATGGCAAGTTTTGCAAAAGGGGTCACTTTTGGAGGTTTCAAACATCGCGTAGCCTCGTTTCGCATGGCAGGCGTGGCGCTTTGTAGCATTCAGACATGTTTCACAATGTGTCAAAAATCGTTTCGTGTGGCAGGGGCAAAATTTTTGCGTCAAATTCAGAAGATGAGTGACAGTTTTCCTGGCAGCGCAGCACTTTGATTTGGAGACCTCCATCATCATTTTGCGTGGCAGGCGCAGCACTTTAGACGTATCGTGTTGCTCGCTTTTTGCGCATCCCATTGTCAGGGCTGCGTCAAGCGGTGACAATGTGCAAATTCCGTGGCAGCGTGGCATTTGTGAGGAAGCCTCGCACGAAACATCGGTTTTGGAGGCAGCTGACTTTCGGGTTCGTTAAAACAATCAATTCGTAGGAAAACGTCGATTTTGAGATGCAATGTCTGAAAATTTTTAAGACGTCTCGCACGAAAGGTTCGTTTTGATGCAACCTGTTTCGTCTCGCTTCTTTGGTTTTCTTGTGGCATCGCGGTGTCTATGGGGGAAGCTGCAAAACCTGTCCTTTTTAAAGGTAGCAAAGCTGGTTGTAATGTCGTTTTGCGTCGCAGGCGTGGCACTTCGTGACATTCTCATGTGTCTGCAAACGTGTTGAAAATCATTTTGCGTGGCAGGCGCAATACTTTTGCGTCGTTTTCGGTAGATGGCTTGCATTTTTCGTGGCAGGCGCAGCACCTTGGAGACCTCCATCGTCATTTTGCGTGGCAGGCGCAGAATTTGGTGAACATCCGTCGTGTGTGGAATGCTATTTTCCTTGGTAGAAGCAGTATTTCGGACACTCTGCATTTTACACTCCACACTCCACACTTCACACTCCACACTCCACACTCTACACTTTACACTCCACACTCTACACTCTAGACCTACACTTCACACCCCGCACTCCACACTTTACACTTAACAGGTTACTCTCCAAACCCCACCCTTTACTCTCCACACTCCACACTCTACACTGTACAGTCTAAACTTTACACTCCACACTCTGCACTCCACACTCCGCACTTTACACTCCACACTCTACACTTTATATACACTTCACCACACTCCACACTTTACACTCTACACTCCACACTGCACACTCCACACTCTACACTCTACACTGTACACTCCACACTCCACACACTACACTTTACACTCTACACTTTACACTCTACACTTTACACTCCACACTCTACACTTTACACTCCACACTTACACTCCACACTTTACAATTTACACACTTTGCACTCCACACTTTACAGTTTACACACTTTACACTTTACACTCCACACTCTACACTCTAGACCTACACTTCACACCCCACACTCCACGCTTTACACTTAACAGGTTACTCTCCACACCCCACACTTTACTCTCCACACTCCACACTCTACACTGTACAGTCTAAACTTTACACTCCACACTCTGCACTCTACACTCCGCACTTTACACTCCACACTCTACACTTTATATGCGCTTCACCGCACTCCACACTTTACACTCTACACTACACTTTACACTCCGCACTTTACACTTTTACACTTGTACATTCCGCACTTTACACTCCACACTTTTCACTTTATACTTTACTCTCCACACTCCACACTTTACACTCTACACTCCACAATCCACACTCCACACTCTACACAGCACAATACATTCCCCACTCAACACCCCACTTTCTTCACACTCCACACTTTCCTTTCCACCCCATTCCACATTCCACAGTCTACAGTGCACTGGCACGGTAACAGGGGAAAAAACACAAGACTTTTCAAATTAACTTGTTTCACAAAAGTGTTTCACGTGAATGCATTCGGGTTCGTGGGCTGCATCTTGTTCTCACGCTGCAACATGAGAACCTTGGCTTCCGCATGCATGCTTTGTTTAAGTGGAAGCAGCAAACCATGGAAGCAAAACTTACTGCCACCCCTGTGTTTGGTTAGATCCACAACGCCACCCCTGTGTTTGGTTAGATCCACAACAGAAACTATCCACCGAACTTCAAATTTGCACCGTATGATCACTGCTTCCAGATTGCAGTTTTGGTCAAAATCTACATTTTTGATCATTTTTGCTTATCGTACTTTGCATAAACTCTACACACAGCACTACAACAAGTGTGCCAAACGAAGCAGATGGAACTTGAATGACTTACGTTTGAAGCATTCATGATTTCCAAGGCCTCGTGGGTTCAGCATGATGCTGCCACGCAGAGCGTTAAAGCATGGCGCCCACCAAAAAATTGTGTTTTGAAGGCTAGAAATTTAGGATTTTGGACATTTTGGGACTTGGGATGCCAAAGATACAGCCAAAAGTCTCCAAAACAAGGTGGGCCAGAGAACCCAAAAGCAAGACGGCACACAGCACGCTTTGTCTTGAAAATTTGGGGTGTGGCCAGCTGTGCTCTGCACGAAATCGACGTAAGTCTTTACTGCCGCTTTTAACGCACTGAATGGATCAGGGGCCACGCCCCAATACCACTCATCAGGAACGAAGTCTGTCAGAAACAAAGTCTGTCATGTAGAATCTGGATGAATCTAGGTCACGGGCTTACGACAGCGCAAGGACGAATAAGTTGAAACATGTTGACAAATATAATGTGGTTTCACTTTCTCCAACAACCCGCAACCAGTGTGCAGAGCAAAGCAAGGCTGGTACAGCTGCTGACCAAAGAGCATGAA